TGCTGCGGAAGGATGAGGCGCCGCTGTTCTTAAATGACACCAGCGCCTTCGACTTCTCGGACGAGGCGGGCGACGAGGGGCGCCCCGGGTTCAACAAACTGCGAGTGGTGGTGGCCGACGACGGCTCCGAGGTGCCCGACAGGCCTGCGAACGGGGCGCAGCCGGCCCTGCAGGCCGACGACGACTCCCTGCTGGACCACGACTTGCCGCTGACCCACAGCCAGCTGAGTCTGAAGGTGGACGCGTGCGACAGCTGCCGCCGGCAGCGGGAGGGGCTGAAGCAGAGAAAGGTGAAGACGCGCTTGAGCGTCGCCGCCGTTCTCTACCTGCTGTTCATGGTCGGAGAGCTCGTAGGTGAGTGGGGCGGCCGACTCACGGGGATGCCCGCGCGCGCGCGCGCGCCCGGGGCAGGGCCGGCCCGCGTGGTCCTCGATTTGAGACTTGAACTTTCTTTGCCGGGAGTTTGGGCTTCATCAGGTGTCTCCTTCTCCTCCTCCCCCTCTCCCTCTCCCTTTCCCCTCCTCTCCCTTTCCCCTCCTCTCCCTTTCCCCTCGCCCTCTCCCCCTCTCCCCTTCTGCCTCTCTCCTCCTCTCTCCTCTCTCCCCCTCTCAAGACCCAAGGTACAACCTCCCATCACCCTGCCTCATTCGCGGAAGCAGCCCTTTCCTAACTGGGATCATGACCGCAGACATGGAGGGGAGAACACTTATTTTTGAGGGACCCAATTCAGTCCTCAGCATTCACCTGTTTAAAAACAAACTGCCATCATCGATTTGATTCTGACCCATAGGGCAGAGGAGAACTGCCCTTGAGGGTTTCCTAGCCCGTTTATGGGAGCAGACTGCCTCATCTTTCTTCTGCCCAGCGGTTGCCCGGTTTGCACCGCTGACCTTGTGGTTAGCAGTTCAGTGCATAACCCACTATGCCACCTGGGCGCCTTTTTCACCTGTTAGCTCTCCAACATCGTGTTTCTTCCTGCATGCAAAATCAGTTTATCTAAACACACCGTCCCACAGGACTTCAGTCAACCCCAGATTCAGAAATCTCATCTGAATCAGATGCTGGTGAGAGGTTAGGCAGATTCCAACCAGGGGCAAAAGTTCTCTTTATCTGTAAGCCTCTGAAATCTAGATTACAAATTATTTATTACCTTTTTCCAAGGTGCAATGGAGGAAGCACCAAGCAAGTCCAGAACCCAGCAGGATAATTTACCTTAGCTCTCAAGCCTTGAAAATAACCTCTGTTTGCTGGGGCCATCTGGGCACTGGCCCTGCCCTCCCAGACTCCACGCTGGTGGAGGCCCATGGCCAGGGGCATCACGTCCATCATCCAGACCCACTGTTAATAACAGCTTTGCCCCCTGAGCTTTGGACAGCCCTATTCTAGTCCATCTGAATGGCATACCCACCTCTTTATCTCCCCGTAGGCTCCGCTTTTCTGTTCCTTGAGTATAGCCACCCCACCATCCCCCTCAGCCTTGACCAGCCTCCTCACCTTCCCGGCAGGCACGTGTGAGCAGCAGCCCCACACTCTGGAACAGTGTTGAAATCCTCTCTCTGAAACTCAGAGAGTTTCCTCTGAAGCCAGGGAGCTGCTGTGCCCCATCCAAGCATTCTGCTCCCCCCTGCTCAGAGGTGGTCCTTGTCTTCTCCTGGGTCTGCTTCCTGCCTTTGCAATTCCAAGAGGCAGACAGTGGTCTTTGCCCCTTTTGGTTTCAGCTGATGGGTTTCTCATTTTGCACAGTTCATTTTCAAGTCCTTCACTGTCCTCGAACACCCACTGTAAATAGCAAAGAGAAACCACACAGCACCTTTAAGATTGTGCTTAGGCATCTCCTCAGCCAGTTATCCAGGTCCTGCCTTCCATCAAACACTTGAACATGATTCAGACAAGTCCCCTGCACTGCATAAAAACATTGCCCTTCTACCGTTGTTCAATCACTTGTTCATCATTTTCTTTTAAAGCCTCACTATGGAGCTCTGGTGGTGTAATAAGATCAGCAGTTCGAAACCACCAAACAACCCCACAGGAGAAGGCTTTCTACTCCGGAAAAGAGTTACAGTCTTGGAATCCCACACAGGCTGTTCCACCCTGTCCTATAAGTTCACTATGAGTCGGGCATGAGTTTGAGTGCCTGAGAAGCTCATTTAACATATTTCTAGCAGCCTTTTTTTGCTAGCACCATATTCTCTAAGACAAGAGAGACTTTATAGCTCTCATCACTTTCTTCTGAGCCTTCACCAGGATTGCCTTTGGTGTTCATAATTCTTCCAAAGGTCTCTTCAAGGAAACCTAGGCATTTACTATTAGGCATCTTAAAACTCTTCAGAAGAAAAAAAATGGAAAAAAAACAAAACTCTTCAGCCTCCACCCATTACCCAATTCCAAAGCCACTTCCACATTATGGGTATGTGTTAGAGCAGCACCCCCACCTTTCCTGGTACTAAATTTGTCGTGATCTAGTGCTGCTATGACACAAATATCACAACTGGGTGCTTTCACTGTAACCACAACAAATTTATTTTCTCACAGTTTAGCCTGTGAACTTAGGGTGCCAGCTGTAAAGGAAGGCTGTCTCTCTGTGTTGGCTCTGGTGAACGGTCCTAGTCTCTAGGCACTTCTGCTCCTGGGAGATCTTCATGTGGCTTGCTCTCCCTACCTCTGTTCCTTTTGCTTGCTTTATCTCAGGAGTTTGACTCACGATACACTCTACACTAATCCCGCCCTTTCGTATACAAAATCCCAAATGGGCCTATAACCATTGGCAAAGAAGTTAGAAATCATAATACCTATTTTGGGGCGGCAGACACAGTTTAATTCCTAACTTCAAGATACTGATCTCCTTATGTCAAAAGGCTGAAACACCAAAACACAGATCACCCTGAGTACAAAATAAACTTACAGAAATGACTTGATTTTTCTTCATGCTCTTGAAGCACCGTGGTATTGACAGTAAGGTTAAAAGCTTTATTATTGGATTTCTGGATTTATTATAGCTTCCTTTCTTAACTGGTAAAATACCTGGTTAATTTTTGTAGATTTAGAGTATTCATTGATAATAAACTTACATAGAACTGTGGAGTCTTACTGTATGAAGGGATCTTACCTCCTACCTATGCTACCTGCATGTCTTACACATGAGGAATCTTAGGGTTCAAAGAGGCTAACTAAATTCTGATGTAGTTAGTGAAAGAATATGCCTATATCCCCAGAATCTTGATTTTTTTTTCTTCTCTGTACATTTTGAGTATGGCCTCTTTGTAGCATTTTCTATTTATATCCAAGAGATACTGAAAATTAAATTAGATCAGTATCATGAAAGTTTTTCATTATATGGGAGGGGGCTCAAAAAATTCTTGAAAAAGCTCCATTGCTCTATGAACTTTTTGAAGCCCCCTTGGAGGATGGACCCGAAAGGACCTAAAGCAGTGGTTCTCAACCTTCCTCGTGGTGGTGACCCCCCCCACCATAAAATTATTTTCATTGCTACTTCTTAACTGTCATTTTGCTACCATTATGAATCGGGCGACCCCTGTGAAAGGGTCGTTCGACCCCCAAAGGGTTTACAACCCACAGGTTGAGAACCACTGACCTAAAGAATTTCCCCAGGGTTTTAGGAGTTTGACTCTTATTTTTTTAATTCTATAAGTAATCTCAATAAAATTCACTCCAAACTACAAACTTACTGTAGAGACTATTTTCATAGTCATGCTAGTGTAATTGCTAGTGACAATGTACACGTGACATTGGAGATGATTTTCTCCCATGGTCTCCATGAAGAACCATGATGAGAATAGGTGGCAGCGCAGGATGCTTGGTTGGAGGTTGTGTGCAGGAAATTTATGTGCACTTCCCACCACTCTTCCCCAGTGCTCACTTTTTCAGTGCTTTTTGTAGCAGTACTTTTTGACACCCTTGTACATATGTATGAACATAGTATAACTGGAACAAAATTTTATGTGACACATTTTCATATATTTATCCATTGTAGCCCACTAAATAGGCTTCATGGTCCAATAATAGGTCAGGATGTGCATTTTGGGAAACACAGCTTTATATGAACTACCTTTTCCTAAATCATTGCATTCTATTCATGTTTTATCTCAGAAAACACTTTCAAGAGCCTTTTTCTGATTGACTCCTCCCTCTTCCCTTCCCTCCCCAACTTCCAAAGCCCTCAGCCTCTGAGATAATTTTATTTACTTGTATAATCCATCTTCCCCCACTAAAATAGCAATTGAATTCTCAACACCTGTAACAGTGATTGGTCAGCACAGATACTGAATAAAGTTTTGTTTAATCAGTTAATTTTTATTTTATCTACTAATTCATTATAGAGAATTACAAAAACTTAAATTGTAAAAAAATTAAAGGCAGAAGTGAAGCTGTGGTCAGATATAGCATGGTCTCAACAGACTAAGATTCAATGACTTGTCCAAATTCACACAACTGGAACATTGAGCCATTCATATTTAGTAATTTTTGGAAATTGGTATTTAATTACTTGAAGCTCCCTCACTTTTCAAGGTTATCAAGTTGATGCCAACGTGTAACGACACCACAGGACAGGACAGAACTGCCCCTCCTCTAGATTTCCGAGGCTGTAAGTCGCTACTGGAGCAGAAAACCTCGTCTTCCCTGTGGAGTTGACCTGGGGCTTAGCAGCCCAATGTGTAACCCACAGTGCCACCAGAGCGCCTTCTCATATTTGAAGCTAGAGAAACTAATCACAGTTTCCCCCTTAAGATTGAGTTTATTTCACCTAAGTAAAAATCATTAAGATATATTCCCCAGAGTTCGTATTTTAAAAATCTCTTTAATAGATAGATATTGTTTTGAGAAAGCCAAGTAAGTGTTTCCTTCAAATATCAACTTTACTTCCAGGTATGAAAATACTTTATTAAAAAGTAGACTACAATATTTAAGATGGGCATTAATCAGAGTTGAATAGAATTATATAGGAAAGCATTTTTTAAAGTGTCTTAAAAACAATTGGGAAAAAAAGCACCTTGTGTAGAAAATGTGCACTTGGCAATTTGAATGTTACACGTCGTGTGTTTGTTTAACGTCTCTCCTCCATGGACCTTGTCCCAGGTTTTAGAGAAAGTTTGTGACAAAGCCAAGATTCAGAATCAAGTGCACATTTTCTACACAAGGTGCTTTTTCCCCCAATTCAGTAGGAGTTACCCATGCAGAGAGTGGGAAAGTTTCCCAAACAAAGAGAACAGGATGTACAAAGATCCTAAAACTAGTTCTTTAAAGGAACTGAAAAAGGCCAGTATTGCCGGAGTGTGGTGAGCAAGACGGGCAGTAGCATAAAAAATGAATTTGTGGAAGTAGGCAGGGGGGCCAGG